TCTAATAGCTCTCTGAAGCTTTTTGTTAAGCTCATCTCTGAGAACTTTTTCTTTAATGGTGTTAGGTTCCCTTCTCTTGACAATTTTCAGTTTGTTCTGACATCCAGTTTGCTTTCTTCTCTTTCCTCATTTTTGGTAGTTTTTCACCTTTATTGACTTATTTGATTAATTACTTATTTAAGTACATTCAATAATCCTTCTGATTCTGAATCATGAGATTCAGGACTTCAAAGAGATTCCTGATATTCTCCTTCAAAATGGTGGGTTGATATTCAACATTGTATTGTGGAAACCAATTGTTCTTCAAACATATTTAAAGAACAGTGACAAAACTTGTTTGAAAGTGTTTGGAAACATTTTCTAATATATGCTATATTGGTAATTAATTAGTGAATGAAAAATTATGTGAATTGACTTTCCAGAATTCAACAGGTAGATGTATGTTGCTTTTAAGATACATGGAATTGCTCTAAGCAAAAGGAAGTAGTTTTAAAATATGAACTATATTGAATATGTCACCTGCTTATTATAGCATTATATATGCCAATAAATCAAATCATACAATGGAATTTCAAAAAGGACACTAGCAAATCAAAACAGCTAGTTTAAGCTGGTATTTCCTGAAGCAAACTTCATTTTCTAACAAAACATTGGCATCACATATACTGCAAATAGAAAATAGTTAATTGATTACAATACTTTTCTTTATTCTAAAACTATTTATATTGAACAAATACATTTTCCTAAGAATAAAAATGTGCTTTATGATATATATTATTTTTGCTTTCACAACTAAGACCTTGAAGCTGTGTATGTTGTTAACGCTTTCTTGAAATGTATTTGTAGTAAACAGAAATCTAACGATTGATTTTTCAGGGCAGGAAATAAGGCAATATTTTGTGCTGGCACATGACCGTATAATCCAGAAGGGTAATGGCCATTTTTCAAAGCAAGCTATATCCCAGTTTCCAGGCTTTGTGGATTTTTGTTATCAGTGCATTTTGTTACTGTAATGCTGCTTTTGGACTAGTTGACCTACAAACCTCCTGAAACTCTCCTATGATGCTTGTGTAAACTAGTGTTAAATTAAAACATTTTGGAGTAAAATAGCTGCTAATATATAATCCTTTTATTTTTCTCAGCATTTTAAGGATTTCTTTATATCCTTAATATTATTTTCCTTTATTAGCATAATTGTAGAATATATCTATTTAATGTGTGTTTTGCTTTAGAAAGTATCTTGAAAATGCATTTTGATGCTATCTTCCACTTATATGGTTTTATATATGAGGATAGTAGAGGGAATCAGAATGTTTTGCTAACCTAGTCAGATTTTATAAAGACCTCTATAGAGTAATAGTTAATTTAAAAGCTTCTTAAATTTCAGTAAATAAATTTCTTTCTCTTCCTTAAAATATTTTCATTTTGCTATATAAAACAAGACAATGAATTCAAATGCAGACAGGCATAGCATATATCATGTCTCTGGTCAAGGCTTACTATAATCTTTGGGCAAGATCACAGTTTTTGCTTGAATTGCTAAGGTGAATATTTTAGAAAATGTTATAGTAAATAACCCCCCCCCTTTTCTCTTTTCTCTCCAGTCTTTGAAAAAAAACAAACCCATAACATATTTGGTTTAAGGATCATGCCAAAATATGGAATGTATTTAGGCTATTGGGCATAGCAAAAGAGCTGATTATTCTTCTGACACTAATCTTTATATATAAAAAAGCTATTGTAAGAGTTAACATTATTAAAACAGAGTGATATAGAATAAGAAATGAGACACTGATTATGTAAGTAAGTATTTTCTGAAAACTATTTAATTTGTACAGGCAATATAGTATGACAGAGTTCAAAAAATGGGTCTGGGTTAATCTTAAATACAAAGAGGGAAGAGGTTATGTAAACCACGAAGCCTTATTTCATCAACTCTATGAAAAATCTCAGTAATTTTGTTACTGACCACAAAACAATGAAAATAATAGTTTTATTTTCTTGGTTCAAGAATAGTTAAAGATGGATATTGTTTCAGAGAGCTAAAGGAAAAATCAAAGACAATGATTAACTTAAACAAAATTGTAAAGGACAATGAAATTTCTTGAAAAACAAAAATCAAAATATATTTAAAGCAATTATTTTTCCAGTGGCAAACCATGGGTGTGAATTGTGGCCAGTGAAAAAGGAGAGGAAGAATATATATTGCATATCACTGCATTATGGATTTGAGGATGGTAATTAAAATATTACAGGCTGTAAGAATTAAACAACTGCTCCTGAACAGGACCAGATTGACTGTTCTCCTAAAGCTATGTTCAGCAAGTACTATGCACTACAAGTAAAAAGTCTGTTTGAAAATAATGAAAGTAGAAAGAAAAGACAAGACGGATGTTAAGGATCAAAAGATTACTGAAATATCATTTAAAAAGCTGCACATTATCACTAGGAATAAATATAGTGGACACCAATTCATACATCTACCACAGGTTAGGTCTAATTTAGTGCTAACTTATTAATTAACTTATTTGTTCAAAAAATAAAAATCTCAATTAAGAAGATTCCACACTGTTCCTGGCCTAATAAAATAAATGATTAAACATTGGAAATCATTTAAACAACGAATGAACTGATAGGAACAGAATTATTTTTCTGCTGAATTTCTGCTTCTCAAGTTTACTTATATCTTCTTCAGTCAGTGCTGGTTTGTCACTCATTATGTATTCCTTATCACACTGAACGATCAGCTGAAAATTTGTAGAGTATATAGCAAAAATGTAATGATAGTTAATGTAATTTGTAATGATTCTTGGCACATGAGAAGGTATCATTCAAAGATTAATTTCTTCATCTCTAAATATGTTGCACAAATCTCTGTCCTGGAAGCAAGCTTTAGACATTGCAATGATTCATAGTAGAGACTCTCAAATTTCTCTTGAATTCAGCTTAAAATCCTATGTAATAAATTCTCAGGTCTATTTCTCTTTCCTTCTTCTCCAAAAGCTATTGTTTTCTTCTCTCAGCATTGCTTTTTCCTCTCTAAAGGCTAAATCAAGTTAACCTCCAGCTAGACAAGGAACAGCAGAAACAGCTCTCCAACTTTATCAGTCAAAAACAAATTTCCCCCGCTTCACCTTCTCTATAAAATTCACAGAAGGCCTCAAGGATTCTTGAGAAACATCATTTTCTCAGCCACAGGAAATAACTCTATGCCTGCCTGCCTGCCTGCCTGCCTATCTATCTATCTATCTACACAGAACCATTATTCTGAAATGAAGAAATGAGGGAAGAAAAAGATAGGTGATTTTTTTTGGGGGGGGGGGTAATGTTCATAATAGTTAGAATTAAAACTTTTTAGGAAAGGGAATGACCCTTAGACCTCATATATAAATCAATCTACAAAGTTTTCTGACCTTCTGGGTATTTTTTTTACAGGTATCAATATGGATTCTTGATATCATCCATGCAGAATTGCTGAAGCCTATACCACCATAACTATCACAGCCTTATGTCAGATATTTTGAAAAAAGTACATGGCCATAGGTTTGGAAACAACCAGTGTTCATTCCATCACCAAAAAAGGACAACTCCAAGGATTACTCCAATTACTACACAATTCCACTCATAATTTACACTGGCAAGATTTTCCTTAAGATCATACAGCATCTAGTGCTGCCCATCAATAAGGAATTACCAGATGTTCAACCTTGTTTCGGAAGGAGTCATGGCATTTGTGACCATATTGCATGTCTACACTGGATCATGAAACAAATATATCAAGAATATCAAAAGAACATTTACATGTGCTTTATTGACTACAATAAAGAATGATATAGAAAAGGGCCACTGGGCGCATTGCAGACGCAGTAAGGAAAGAGAAATAACACTGTATTGCTGTTCTTACTATCATAAAAAGGCCTTAATAGCAGCTCTAAATTGTATTTGGCCAGAATCATCTTTCATATTCCTCCAGCAGTGCTCTATATTCCCTTTTTTAGAGCTACTATTTGCTTTTTGAATAATGTGCACTTTTGAGTTTTAATTTAATTAAAAATAGTTTGTCCATGGTTTCAAATGATTGAATATCACTTAAAAAAAATCAATAGAAATTGTGGGAAATCAGAGATACAAACTAATAGAGTTAATGTGCCAGTCATACAAACATAACTTAATTTACACAGTTAAGCAGGGTAACAGATTAATGAGGATAATTAATCAGATAGTTAATTAATAAAAGTTATACACAGATCCTTTCTTGTTAAGGGGAAAACATAAAATGCATGATTTTTAAAGATAATACAGGAGCGCGCAAAAAGTTTAAATTATAGAAACTAAAATTGTTATGTTAAGTTTCATATATACCACTTCTATTGTATTTATAAACCTTTATTTTACATAATGTTCATTAATCTGAAAAATGATACATCACTTTCAGTTTTTCTTGCAAACATATCAGTGTTTTTCAAGTATATACCCTTTACATCTTAGCTCTGCTTAAACTTTTTTTTAGCCCTATCACAAGGGTTTAATTGCAAATTCTAGGATAGTAAGTACAGTAACCTTGATCCTCAGCACATGTGTACTTAAAAGTCAATAACACTTTCCTCGTTATACTATACTGAATGTGAAATGATAGAATAATAAAAAATACTCTAAAGGAAGTATATTATTTAGAAAAAAGATGACAATTTCATTCACAAAAGTTAACTTACCATAATAGAATAAATAATACAAAAGTGAGTTGTAGTGTATATTGTATCATAGGCTTACAGACCTGAAACGGATCTTATCATTTAGAGTTTCTTTGTAATGTATGCATCAACAAATCATTTTCTCTATCTACACACAAAAACTGAAGCAAGGTATATTTATAAAATTTTATTTATGTTTCAACCTCTTGTGAAGATAAGAAAGAAAACCTGGCAGAAAAGAATCCATTATGCTTGGCAAAAAAGTAAATATTTAATACAACTTGCTACATTATAAAAGAGTGTCTTTACCTTATATATTCTGGATCGGTCTGAAGTTTTTCAGAAATTGTTATTTTTTCTAATTCTAAGCAGTTTGTGAGAGATTTAGTTTCTGCTATTTCTTTTTCAAAATCTAGAAAAAAAATGACAGTTTATAGTTTATAATAAACTATTATCCATTTATACTAGATACTTAAAAAACAACAATAAACTCAATAGATTTGTTCTTTGAGCAGTTCCAGACCAATGGTGGAGTACAGTCTCCACATACCAAAATTCCAAGGTTCAATTTGCAGTTAAACCAGATTAGGGGCAAGAAGGTTTCATCTGAAATCCTGGTCATTTCTGGCAATGAATGCAGACTCCTGAATGTCAAGCATAGAAGGGAAGGGTCTGGGTCAGGAGGTACAGGGACATTTTGCATGTCCTCTGTTGGATATAAATGACTCCACCTGCCTAGACTTATAAAACAAATAGATAAAAGCAAGGATTTACAGCCCAAATGGGAGTAGTGGGTATCAGGCATGGGGATTTTCCTTAGATCAGTGATGGCGAACCTTTTAGATACTGAGTGCCCAAACTGCAACCCAAAACCCACTTATGCATCATCGAGTGCCGGGTGGGTGTGGCCCATTGGGTGGGTGTGGCCAATTGGGTGGGCATGGCTGCAGTGGTAATGGCAGACTGGGTGGGAGTAAAATGTTCAATCAATCAATTCCAACTTTGCAAGAACTTTTTTTTTCCCGTTAGAAGTTGAAATTGACTGATTGAACCTTTTTTTTTTGCACATGGCGGCAGAGGCCTAAAGCGAAAAGGTTTTATAAAACCCAGCTGAAGGCCTAGGACTGGGGCGATGACGCGCGTGCCCACAGAGAAGGCTCTGAGTGCCGCCTCTAGCACCCATACCATAGATTCGCCACCACTGCCTTAAATGCTTAGAATGGGTGGAGAAAACAATAAGAAAAGCTGGTCTTTGGAAGAAGGAGCCTTTTTGCTTTAAGCCCCGGAATAGAAAGTTAAGCAGTTGCAAACAGAAGGAAACAGCAGCCAGCTAAGTATGTCCAAAGCTACCACAGTCAGAACAAATAGAGCTAAAGCAGCATCAAGGTCAGAAAAGGACAGTAGGATTTGAATGAGTCCAAATCACCACCAGTAAAACAGCAACAGCAGCAGCCTTTGAAGAACTTTTATATGGATTAGTAATGTAATGCCAGAATCAGTTTTTGGGCGAGGCTTAGCAAGAGGTCTGTAACTTGAGAAATGCAGTAGGTAAGGTTATCAAAAAAGCCCTATAGACCATGGGGGAAGCTACCTGGACTACTAAGAGACCTATCTGGACAAACTACTCTAGTTGAATCGAATATAGTAGCAGCTAATTACAGAAGAGGTCTAGGGTAGAGCTCTTACTGTCAACTGCTAACTAGATTGAACCTCCTGGGAAAGTGAGGTGTATGCAATACAGCCCAGGAGGAGGAACTTCATAAAACTTGTGATACCATTTGCCTGTGTCTTTTCTATTCACAACATACCAATTGTAGCAAGTCTTAATATTTATAGAAAGAATAGTTCCTGGAATTTATGATTCAGCCAGTTGAACTGGCATTGGTAGATTCCACTTGGGCAATGTAATATTGACTTATATGAATCAATAGTTTGAACTAAAAATAGAAGAGAAGCTTTAAGAGAGGAAGCTCAGGAGATTGAGCTTACAATACACTTAATTTATAAGGTTAAAGTTAAATTAGGATGTGATTAATTCATAAAACTAATTGATAAAACACAATATATGTTAAATCTGTTGATAATAAAGAATGAAATACATTTAACAGTATGAGAGTAAAAAGCGAAAAACCAGAGCTTATTTTGTGGGTTCCGTTATAATATCTTATAGAAAAAATGAGAAGCTATACTTCATTTAAAAAAAAAAAAAAAAGATTTCCCTTTTTAGCAATAAAATTTGCTAAAATTGCCAAGAAGTGCAGGATAAGTTATTTTATTTGTTTATTTATGTCTTATTATGTAGTCATTTTAAAATAATTGAATATATGATATTTTTTACTTTCTCATAAAATGTCTTCCAGTGAGGATAAATTTCAAACTCTATTTCTCAAATCATGCTTGAACATTAAATCAGCTGAACATCAGGTAAGCAACATACCTCTGAGTTTCCTCTGTAGAGTAGATAAATCCTGCTTTAATTCATTCTTCTGTAGATGAAATCTTTTTAATTGAATTGTTTCATGCTCCATTGATTCTATTTCTAAGAAAGTAATAATTTTCAAGTTAGAAATCTATTAACAATGTAATCTTTATTACAAAACTTTATGGCATGCTCTTTCTGAATATTTTGAAATAGAACTATATAAAGAAACTAATAAAATCTAGTTCTGCAAGAAACTATATACAGTATACTTCTGCATTTAATAATCACATATAGAATTATTTCCAACTGATACAATATATGCATAATTTAACTATTGCACAGGATTACATCTTATTCTTTGTGCATTTTTATTGATAGTTGTACATTTATAGGAAAAAGTATATTAATTTGAAAAATGTGACTAATTGGAACCTAAATGTGAACAAAAAATAAAATATCAACAACAAAACAATAAGTGTTCAAAAGTTAATCTCCCAACTAAGAGAAAAGTAATAGAAGAAAAACACTATATATAATTTCTTTAGTAGCAATGATGCACTGCAGATGCTGTTTTAGTTAATCGTGTGTTGGAGAGCTAATAGCACGGTTTGAATCATGTGAAACACTAGTTTAACTACTGCTTCTCACTGGTTCATTTTAAAATTCACATTTTCTCATACAAGAGTTTGCAATTATATAGCTTTATTTGAATAATTACCTTCATATAAAAATGATATGAAAATTAGTGTCTGCCTATCTAAGTCATTTGATGGACACATTATGTTGTATCAAACTATTGAACACGCTACCTGTGAAATTAAAGTTTGCCTCTATTCACTTTGCTTTCAAAAGTTTTTTTAATACAAATTTTATACTTATTTTAGTAAATGTGGTAGTTTAATGTGGTTTTGTTTTGTATTTTTGCTGTAAGTGTTTCTAAGCACAATAATGTTTCTTATCCCAAAGGACATAATATGGTATCCTACTCTATTAGTACTTGTTGATCAAAGCAGTATATAGCATATGATTCAAAATTTCCTCCATTCCATGATATTATTTAAGAAAGCATTTCTCAGTTAGCAGCAGGAATGGTTTTATGACAAAATCTGTAATTCTTTCTCCTAATAATTAAAACTTTTTTTAAAAAAAATGTATACTCAGTGTTGCATTTTTTCATGTTTATTATTTAATGATATGTCTTTTCTTTGGGGTGAAGAAACTTTTTTTGGTGCTTTTGATTTTCTGTTGGAATAATTTTACAATCTAACATCTTTATCCAACTGTCAGTCTGTAACACTATATGCCACAAGAGAAAAATTGTCCCAATGTGGCAGTTCTTAGGAGTTACATATCCTCAATGAACTGGTAGACCTTCTGCTGCTAGATGCTGCTACTGCTACTGCTGTCATGAAGCTTTCTTGTGTGCGACTGCTGCAGTTATCCTATCAGCAATATTGTGTGTTGCAGCTGCCATCCTTGTTGTGGTTAATATTCAGTGTTCATAGAGAAGGCAATGAAAGAATGTCAGTGAAGCTATCCTGAAAAATGATCAACTTGACATGAAAAATGATCAACTTGTCTGCTATCTATGCTAATTACAGCTCACACTGACTCTTAACTCTCTTTGGGATTTGCAAATGTTAAAAAAACTCTCTTTGGGATTTGCAAATGTTAAAAAAAAATTACAAATCAACCTTTATTGTCAAAGTACAACATGTGTACAATGAGATTGGCTGAGCCTCCCTTTGTGCACCCCCCCAACACCACTCACAGTGACAGCAAACCCACCATCTTATTACACCATGTGAACTTATTGCACAATGCACCGGCCCTGCAAGTCTATCATACATGGAGTTATTTCCCATTCAGGAGTCTGACAGCCCATGGGTAGAAATTGTTCTTCAGCAAGTTGGTGCGGCTGGCTATGCTTCTATATCTCCTTACATACAACTAATATTGTTTTCATATTCTAGTATTTATTAAGGATGCAGTAGGATACAATAACAAATGGAAGATTGGAAGATAAATAATAATAACTTAAATCTAGCCTCCAATATATCCTACATAAATACAATAGAGTGTCAAAATCCACAGTTAGTTTTCTGCAGCAGATAGGAAGCTTCAATACTGTATAATGTACCATTTTTCACTTTAGGCAAATTGTTGTAATAAATAAAAATTTTAAAGTCTGGAAAAAATATAAATCTATTTTGCCAGAGAGTTTTAATACAAACATTTATATTCTCCAGTAATGTAAGATAAAATGTTTAAACTGAAGGCCTACCTTTTCTCAGAAGACTTTCCTTCTCATCTAGTTCACATATTTCAGTCTGGACTCTTTTTTTAATTACAAGTTCCCGATTTAATATTAACCCATATTCATTATTAAAATTTTTAATTTCCTTCAAAAATGTTTCATCTTCTTCAGCAATTCTTATCTTTAGATTTTTCTTATTATGTCATAAAATTAAAAAAAGTGTAAATGAAAAAATTAACCTTAAATTATTTTTAAATATACATTTTGATATATAGAAAATAAATATTGAGGGATATGTCAAAACACTATAACACCTACTGTACTGATCTTAGAAATGGAATATAAACATAAGTATATGCATTTTAAGAGCATAAAAAATATTCATCTTATATTTGGAAAAATCACTTATTTTTGATGCATGGCCTAAACTGCATTTTCTCATAAACAATCTCAACTGATTTCAGTATAATTTATTTCAAAGTACATTTCCTTATAAGAAATATATTTTATGTTTGTTAATATTACAAGAATAATAGCAACCACATTCACTGAAAACTGCCAGCATGAAAATGCTCAGGAAATAAGTAGCATTATATCCTTAATTGAAAACAGAATGAATTGCCTTTCTCTTAAAACAATCTATCCTTTTAAGCTCATATCATTTGAATCAAGAACTTAAATTCCTTAAGAAGAATAACATAAAGTTATTTTGCCTTGGGTTCCTTCACAGACCTGCCTACCCACTTATCTACCTACCTGCTTAACTTCAGTAACCGATAGTAGCAATTTATTAGTTACTAATAATAATATGATTGTGTTAAATAATACATTTATTTATTTTTTTTATTTGTGGAAATAAATTATCATAGTTAATTGTAAAAATCAATTATCTTGAACTTATGGGCTCGAAACCCATTAATTGTTGCCTCATTAGAACCCCAAATCTTTGGGCTAAGTGTAATTCTAAAAAGGTTGAATAGTACATATTTAAAATGCTACCACTGGAAACATACATATGCTTCAAGATTAATATTCTTCTGACTTAGAAGATCAGCTTTTTGTTTTTCTAAACTCTCTTTCCGTTTTTTGAAAAGTTCCAAGCTAAAGAGCTTTTCAGATAGCAACTGAGCCTATAAACAAAACAAAACAAAACAAAAAAAATACTAGTTGAGAAATTAAAAACAAGTGGTATTTTTTATGGTTTTTTGTTAGACAGAGTTATACATATGAAGATCTTTGTAAGATTTTAAAAACCAATATAAACACATTTTTAAAAAAATGTTATTATCTCTTAAAAGTATGCAAAGCAATCTTAATAATATATGGTCAAATCACCACAAGCTATATTCATTATTTCCCTACTTGAGGTAGAAATTTAGTTAAAGCTTAATGCATTCTGAATTTAACACTGTGTGATTTAACAAAACTCAAGACTGTATTACTTATTTATTTATCTAATATGTATTGTGGTTACTACAGTTAGTCCTCGACTTACCACAATTCATTTAGTAACTGTTTGAAATTACAACGGCACTGAAAAAAGTAACACTTACGACTGTTGCAGCGTCTCCACAGTCACATGATCAAAATTCAGATGCTTGGCAACTGACTAATATAACTAATGCAGATTTACATACAAGTAGCCCTTGATTTACGACCATTAATTCAATTACTGTTTAAGGCTACAGTGGTGCTTAATAACTTGACAGGACATGTCCAGTCCCTGAAGTTATGGCTATGGCAGCACCTCTGTAGTCATGTGATCAAAATTCAGGTACTTGCCAGCCTGTTCACACTTACGACCTTAGGAGCACCTCATCTCTCCCCCTCCCACCTACTGTATCTTACTTCCTCGTATGCCCTTTTGGCTTCCTGTACTCTGCAGCTCCTGCTGTTCTAGCTGACCTTTGCCATTTTCTTGGTCCCAATGCTGAACATGCATGCCTGACCTGACCCATTGACAGGCAGTTGCTGACTGCAAGAGGCCTTCTTCCCCAGGTTGCCCATGACAGTTTCCTTGCAAGACCTCAGGAAGATGGTCTCATGTGACCCGAAACTGCCTTGCCTGTTGAGGATATGCCTTCTCAGTGGGAGCAAGAAGATGGCAAAAGTCTGCTGGGAAACAATGTGTAGTATGCCGGGAGGCCTTGAAGTGCAAGGTGACAAAGGTGACTATGTCTGGGACCAATCTGGGTAGCTGAGTTTTTCCAGGGCAACTGTGTCTTTTGTCATGCTGCTGGGGCAGATGAGGTTTCCAGGGATTTTTGCAGATTTTCATTGTGCTATGGCTCAGAGGCTTCTTGTAACTCTGGAGCTGTGGTGCACCAATAGGCTACTGAGACACAGCATGGTAAGCAGCCCTAGAGCTATGCAATTCTGGGGCTGCTTGCCACCCTTCAGGGTTCAGGGTGGCCAAAAGGGCAGAGATGGGTTGGGGAGATAGGCAGTGGGGGAGCTGAAGAGGAGAAAGTCTCTTATCTTACCAAGGCTTGGGGCTGGAAGGGACAAAGCCTGAATGGCTTAGATTGGGATGAGTCCTTAAAAACCTCTGAAATTCAGTTAACAATGGCAATGAGGAGTGCCAAGATTGCCATCACTACATGATGTGCTCGTGTGATATTGCATTTTATAAGCATATCATGTGGAAATTCTGCTCCCATTTTGGTTGTAAATCAAGGTCTAATTGTTTAAATAGCATTTAAGGCTAAAATCTAGTTCAAGGACAAAATAGATTAGAAACAAGACTTTTGATTTGACATGTGTGGAAAGCCAAATATATTTACACTGACAAATTGGGCACAGTACTCCAAGGTATCATCAGACCGCATATAAGTAAAAAAAAAAATTCTCTTATGATATTCAACCTCTGTTTTGGTCATGTAGGAGAAAAGCACCCTCCATTCCAACTGACCAAAATAAATCAAGTCTTTTTAAAAAGGTAGGGATCCTGCATTTAGATAACCTTTCTATTTCAGAAGAACTTGAGATGCAGATCCAAGTTTTGTCTTCCAAACCTCTTGCTGCCAAACTTTCTCTCTGGTTCAATTCTCCTTACATTTGAGACTGCTTGATTGCAAATGCCTTGGAGATAGCTCACTGTCAAGGAGAAACCGAACATTCCATCTCCCAGCCAGGACTCACTGTTAGTAAAGGACTTTGTCTCTTTGGTCATTATAGAAATGGGACATGCTGGCTAAGGAACGACTATATTTATATTGGATTATACTGGTGAGATCAGCTGTGTCCTAGACTACTTACGCAATATATTCTTGAGAGCAGCATTTTTGAAAAGAAAGTACTGAACCTTGAAAGGTGAAATGCTATAACTCAAAGTTCTAATTACATGCTACCTAGTTTTTCACAAGAACATACCAAAAATGTATACTTCCTTGCTCAAAAGCAGTTCAGCCACATGAGCTTTTTTTCTCTGTGTTTCCATATATATTTATAATGTCTTGAATGCATGAAAATTAGAAATAAAATTTGTAGAGCAATCCAGAAATGCAATTTAGAGTGCAGTCAACTTAATACACACTGCATTAGAAGAACATATTTTGACTTTTTTCACTATCCCAAAACTGATAAGTGGTGACAATTATAATGGTGAACTGAATTTATTTCATCCAGCAGAAGTAATGCATATTGGCTTTTCCAGGATTGTGAATGCATGCATAGGCTTTTGAAAAATAAATTGAGCCAAATATATAAGTTAATGTTCATTGACCTTTACGTAATTAATTATGTGAGTTTAAAGTTATAATTGGTTTAGGAATGCTTTTCTAGTTTTCCTCATTTGTAATTCATAGTAATTGTTTTCCCACTTTCACCAACCTTCTGTATCTGCCATAGTAACCAAAACTGTAAATCAGAATGAGTCAATAGCAAATTAGCGATGTACACGTGGAATTATGATTGTCATAAATTATTTTATAAGCAGCAACAGAATGAATGTCATTGCCTGGCAAAAATGGCAATAGGGTTCTTGTAATTTTGCAGAAAGGACAAGGGGTTCCTGTTCTGTGACCATAGTTTACTGCTAAATGAGAGATCCTGAAAAATTCAAGAATATTAAAACACATTATTTTCATAAACTCTGTGGATTCTGTATATTTGTATTATATCTTCTTAACTTATTTATAATCTTTAGCGTTGAACACAAGAGATATTTAAAAAATGAGATATAACTGGACAGTCTTCTAATTGAAAGCAGATTGATTTTAAATAGTTTTAGACTTACAACTAAATAGGCAGTTATAGGTTTTATATCTATATGATTTTTTTACTATTGAAATGAAATTACAGAGATGGAAAATTCTGAATCCTGCCTCAGACTAATCTAAAAAAACTCCCTTGAGTTCTTGCGATTGTGATTTCTCCTAATTTTTTTTCAAGGTGGTCTGAAAAGATCTGGAAAAATGATCTGCCCATTTTTTTTTGAAGAACTCTCCAATGGAAACATATGCAATCAAAACAAATTCTAAATTTGCAAAGAACTGAAGTAAGAAAAATTTGGGAGTCTTCTAATGCTTATTTCTTCTTTAAGAATTCCTGAAAGTCTTTTCTAAACATGCTTGAGAGCACTTCTTATGGTTCCTTAAATGATAACTGTGATAAGTTAAAACATAGCTTATCTTATCCTCCTCTAGAATAGCTGCAAGGATGATATCAAAAAATTGTTTTTAGTTTCAATTATTCACATATTAGGTATTGCCAAAACATAATTAATAGATAATATTTTCTGTTATCTGGTTCATTTTTGTCAACACTTTGACTGAATTTGATGTCCAAATTTAACCACTATCAAGAAACATGACAAAATTTAATACCAAAGATAAGAGAATTTTCCTTCCTTCCTTCCTTCCTTCCTTCCTTCCTTCCTTCCTTCCTTCCTTCCTTCCTTCCTTCCTCCCTCCCTCCTTCTCTCCCTCCCTCATGTGATATTATATTCTTTCTAAATTTGACTAGGAAAATGTCCAGAATTTCACAATCTGAGCATGCAAATTGAAGGAGCTTATGTTCAGTTCATGTATATCTTCTATGCTTTTACAATAATCCTGTTGAACATTGCTGATACTATAAAACAGAGATGCTCTGCACACTAACACATATGTATCATTATTAATTCCACCTGTTTTTAATATAAATAAGTTGATATATAACAAAAAGAAAACAGTAAAAGATATCAAAGGTTAAAACATTAGTTTAAAAAAAACCATTACTCTTACTTCAATTTCCAGTTTTTGTTTTTCTTCACCAAGTTGTTGTGTAATTTGATTAGCTTTTTCATGATTTTTGCTTATCTCCTGTTTTACTGCAATATAAAATTAACATTTATACATCAAACATATTGTCGGAACCATGACATTGGATGTTCTTGCTTTGACACATATTTGGAAACAAACTTTCTTTTTTCATAAACATGAAATAGTTAAAAAAATCTCAAAAATATTTGATCAATGAACATTTTATGGTAGCAAATTTATTATGAATACCACGGTGAATAAGTCAGCACCAATCAGTTTTAGGAAAAATAATACAATCTTTTCTGAACCCAATAGACTGTCCTGCATTTGGAATAAGATCAATCCAGAGAATAAAAACCTACAATAATTTTGGTGAACCAGGAATCTTTGAATACTCTCCCCCCACCCTCTCTCTCTCTCTCTCTCTCTCTCTCTCTCTCTCTCTCTCTCTCTCTCTCTCTCACACACACACACACACACACACACACACACACCATTTTTCCAGTTCTCTCAAATCAGTCCCAAATCCCTACAGAAATAAACACTTTACCATCTGGCAATTGAACAATACAAAGGATTGTTAGGATATCGTAATTCTTCTTGATTGCTGTGATGTTCTTTTATTCAAGTAGTTAGTCTCAAAGGGACATTTAAAGTTACCATGTTGTGCCAATTTTTTTTTTAAAAATCCATGATTTTGAAACAGCAGGAAAGTTTGATCAGGAAAACTTGGACAAAATGAGTACCAATAATAACAACAATAGCAACCACAGCAACAACAAAAACTGTGCCTCCTTTGAGTAGTAACTTCTTACCATCAGATGAAGTAATCTGTGGCGCTTCTATATACTGGCCTCTCTGGATTTATATCACAGATCAGTCTGAAGCAGCAAGCCTGCTTTATGTATTTAGGCCTCCCCGCTTATAAAGATGCCTGTGTAGTATCTGTTTCTTAATCTTAATTAAATAAGGGTAGACCCTGACCTTGATGCATCAGGCACCTCTTTTCTTCAGCTTTCTGTTCTACGAGGAAGATTTGCTGGAACAAGGAGTCTAGGTTCATTTTGATACTTTGGGGTGTGAGGAGAGGAAAAGAGTAATTGATTTGCTGTATTTTGGCTGTGGAGCTACAATACAGAAGCCTTTTCCCCAGAGGTCATAGAGAGAAATCTGGACAAAACCACATCAGACTGCAGGTGTGCGTGTGACTTTAATTTTGCACTGATTAATAAACAAAGTCCAGCATCTATTAAGCTAGCATATGACAGAAGGTTAACTAACTCTGGCCTGGCTATGTAATGTACTAAGGCCCAAGAACTTTTTCTGATGGGTAAGGTTTTAAGATTTCTCCCTCACCTTTAGTTTAAAGTGGTACCACCCACATGCTACTCCCTCCCAGGACTGTTTATTTGTTAAATTCACTTGTATGGCTGCCTAATTCAAGCCAAGTAATTCTGAATGGCTTACAAAAGGAAAATGCAACAACATCTAACAAAACGTATAGAAAACTGTATTGCGTACATCAAAAGAAAATAATACAACAATAAAATGGTGACTCAACAGAGCAACCCTATCATCCAATTGGGGCTCTGGCACATCAGGGCCCAAAAGCCTGGAGGAAGAGCCAGGTTTAAAGGCCCACAGACTCAGAGCCATCTGCAGTAAGGAGAAAGGTCATTCCATAAGATGGGGTCATCACCAAGAAGGCTTGTCTTCTGAGTCTCACTGAGTCTTTTCAGTGAAGGGTCTTGGAATATCCCCTCACAGTGTATGGCAACCTAGGGAAAAGGCCGTTGTACAAGGACTCAGATCTATGCCATGTAGAGTTTTAAAGGTGATAATCAGTACTTTGAACTGCACCAAGAAACCAATTGGAAGCCAATGCAGCTTGCAGAGTAGGGGTGTCAAATGGGCCATGTGACAGTGTTTCATTTTGGACCAGCTCTAGCTTCCTGGTGTTCTTTAAGACCAGCTCCATTTAAAGTGTATTGCAAATGAGAGGCAACTGAGAAGTGAAAGACTATGAACAAGTCCCCCTAATCCAGAAGCAGGTCAAGTGGCACTTAAGACGAAATGTGCAAAGTCTCCTCAATTCCAGTCATCTGATTCTCAAGTAGGAACTGTCCACACAGAAGGTTCCCAAATTCTTCATTGAATCTGAGTGGGCAATGCTCAGAGTCAAGGATGGGAACCCTCCGATTCTGGGATCCAAAAAGCACTAAATTCACAGTCATGTAGTCTTGGCAGCACTGAGCACTGTTCTTTTCCATCCAAGCCTCCGTTGCCTCCAAAAAGTCAGGGCCTGCGCTTGTTTAATTGACATTAAGATATAGATACAATGCAGGAATCTTTATAAAAGGGGAAGCCTAAATACAAAAGCAGGCTTGGTGCTTCAGACTGGTGCTTCAGACTGGTCTGTGGTATGAATGCAAGGAGGCCAAGAACATGTAGAAGCGCCACAGATTGCTTCATCTGATTGTAAGAGGCTCCAGGGGGCTCTAACCACAGATTACTTCATTTGATTGTTAGTGGTCAAAGAAGTTCCAGTCTTTTGTTGTTGCTGTGGTTGCTATTATTGTTATTATTGTCAGGACAGAATTTTGGACTGTACTCAGGTATAGTCACATGAAAAAGTTAAGTACACCCCATCGCACTTTTAACTTTTTTAACATACAGATATTTAATCTTTATACCAATGATATTGATAAATGGGACATAATGTAACAAATATTGTAGACCATCTATATTTTATAGACTTCAGACATTACAATTCTATAAGCAATAAACAAAATAGACTAGAACTGATAAAGTGCTTTTTGACCTAACTTATCTTCTCCTATTCCTATATAGATATCAGTTTTTGAATAATAATTTTGTTAAGTTCCTTTTTATAAGAACTTAACTTGCACATTGCATCATATATAGGATGAAAATAATTTATAATATTTTTTAATCAAACGGGGCAGCTTAAGATCTTGGAGTTAAAATTTCAGATTTTAATATCTTCTTATTCATTCACGATTGTAGTTTTGATTTAGAATTACTCTTTTTTCTGGCAAATTGTTTATCTTTAACAATTAATGCTAGGCACATTCTTCTCACATGGAAATTATAGCTATTGAATTTGATTGAGGAATTGAGGGGAAAATGTATTTACTTAAAAAATAGTAATTCAAAATGTATTCAGTAATGATTGACAAAGATGAATAAGAGAAAATCTATTCTGAATGTTTCAAGAAAATAAAAATGTTAAGTGTACAACATAGACAAACACAGTCATATAAGAACAAGAGGAAAAATGGGAAATATTAAAATTAGAATGCTACATTTAAAATTAAAGGATTAAGAAGAAAAACTAAATTTCAATATGTATTACAAATTAGGAGAGTAAACAAAAACATTTTAAAAAATGGGATTAGATAAAATAACTTAGGGAAAACAACAGGTTGCTATAAAATTAATTGTCTCACAGAAATAACAATTACAAGAATTTTGGCAACCTTTCTAGAAATATTTGCTCAAAAACTGCATTTACCATAACAAAAACCTTCATTGTGAAACTGATTAAGGTCTGGTCAGTTTCAGACAGCAGATGCCAGCTGGCAGAGGGTTCTAATGAACTAATGAAGGTTAAAGGGCTGTTAAGTTGTGATTAGCACTTTTTAGGGAAATGCAGTGCTGTGGCGAAAAGCATCTCAGGAAAAGAGAGCTTATTTAAGCAGTCTCTCTTTCCTGCAATAGGACAAATAAAGAGGGAAAATAAGTCAAGCACAAGATCTTATCTAAATCAGGGCTTTTCAACCGGTGATATGTGTACCACCAGTGGCACTTTATCACCTGGCAGGTGGCATGTGACTCCTAGCCAAGTGTAGCAGGGGAGGGATCCAGCTAAAGTGGTACCGCACAGACCTGGAGACCAGCTGGAGCTGCAGGGCTTGGTAGAAGCCCCAGGATCTGAGCGTATGGCTACATGCTGATTGGAGCTTCTGGCACACCCGGAAAAGGAGGAGGAGGGCGGAGAAAGGAGAAGCCATAAAAGGAGCAAGTATTGGTAGGAGAGAAAAAAACACACAGAGAAAGAGAGAGAAGAGGCTTTGTTGGTGAAGCAGTGAGGAGAGAGAGAGAGAGCAGCCTTTGTGAGCGAAGGGTGAGTGAAAGAGCAAGAGAGAAGCTCATGTGGGCAACGTGTGAGTGAATAAGAGCAAGAGAGAAGCTTTTGCGAGCAACGTGTGAGTGAACGAGAGCAAGAGAGAAGCTTTTGCGAACAATGTCTGAGTGAATGGAGCAAGAAAGAAGCTTTTGCAAACAACATCTGAGTGAATGGAGCAAGAGAGAACCTTTTGTGAACAACATCTGAATGAATGGAATGAGAAAGAAGCTTCTGCTAGCAACATGTGAGTGAATGGAACGAGAGAGAAGCGTGTGAGCAACGTGAGTGAATGAGAGCAAGAGAGAGGCTTTTGCTAGCAAAGGGTGAGGGGGGTTTGTGAGTGAAGGGTGAGAGAAAAAGGGAAAAGTGAGGGGGGAAGAGAAAAAGAAAAAAAAAGGCATTGACTTCTGAGTTGCAATGTTGCAGTAGGAAGGAAGCATTAACACTGAACATCAACTTTTTACTTTTCCATAATATTATAAACTAGTCATTTCTATAACAACAAATAAGAAATATCAGGGTCATAACCTAGAATGGGAAAACAAAACAAAACAACTCATTAATAAACCACTTCCATTTTGTTGAAAAGAAGAGTCAAAGGATAAGTCAATGCAACAGGAATCAAGTTCAATTCAACGAATCCTTACTTAAGGCCTAAAAAAACAATTTTAACTTCCTACTCTACTTACAGTAGTTGTAAGGACCCACCCCACTTTGCATCTTAAGAAGACAGAACTTTTGGAATAATTCTTCCAACAAGCATCCTTTATTAAGAGAAAATGGTTGCAGGCGTTCTAGACAGGACTTGGGGTCCAAGCTCTCCCATTCAGGGTTTTAAAGGGTTCCCCAGTAGCCCACCCAATCACCCCCTTCTTCCAGCAACAGTCTCAGGCATTACACTCCCACCCCCTTTTCCTTACTGCCGGCTGGATGGAGACTTCAGAGAGAACTACATGAAAGGTAATAGCCCCATTCTTATGGTTAGTCCTTTTGGCGATATCCACATTCAGTCTCTTTGAAGTGTACTGAAGGAAGTGAGGGCCATAAAGCCCCTTTGTTCACCCCCTTCCTTTCACCGTATGGCAGAATCCAGGGAAGGCAGAAATGGGGTTTTCTATAGTTGATAATTAGAGATGGATTCTGACATCCTGCCCCCTTAAAAAAAGACAGATCCACCTGAAAGAAAACAAAACAGGTATAAAAGTTAGTCAGTCTTGTTAGGGTACTCTGTGTGAAACTTCTTTAATAGCTTCGGGGCTCTGACATGACGTTTATGGACCCACTCGTTTTGTGAGGCAGGGAGGTGTTTCCAGGCAACTAGGTACTGAGTCGCTCCACGATATCTCCTAGAGTCAAGGATTTCCTTTATTTTGAAATGTTATTCACCCTCCACCATGACTAGAGGTGGTGGGGGGGATTTTTGGCCGTAAAGATGACTGATGCTCTCTTTTCAGCAAGCTGCAATGAAAAATTGGGTTTATTTGCCTGAGATTTTTGGGTAATTCTAATTCTACTGTTACTGGGTTTATGATTCTTTTAATTGGAAAAGCCCTATATATTTTGGTCCAAGTTTTTTACAGGGCTGTAGGGACTTTAGGTATTTTGTAGATAAGTACACCATTTCTCCTATAATGAATGGTGTAGGCTCAACCCTTTTTTTATCGGCTTGTGCTTTGTATGCCTGCCTAGCTTCATCTAGTGCTTTTCTAACTATTGGCCAGATATCTTGTAATTGTTCCATCCATTCTTTCAGTGATGGGATCATTGGTTCGTTTGGGGTTAATTCTGGCATGGGGTTGAAACTTTGACCGTTGGCTATTTGAAAAGGAGTGTAATCTGTGCTGGAGTGGACTGCATTATTATAGGCAACTTCTGCAAAAGGGAGTAAGTCCGTCCAATCATTTTGCTGGAAATTCAAAAAACATCTCAAATATTGCTCAAGTACTGAGTTCATTTTTTCAGC